AGAAACAGACTGACAGTCAATAGTGCTGCTGTAGCAGTGGGGTTAGGCGATCTGTATGGTCAGCCCCAGTTAGCAATCTGGCTGCTGAATTTTGGACCTACCGAAATTTTCTGAAACTTTCCATAGGCAGTCCCACATTGTTACAGTAATCCAGCTGAAATGTAACTAAGGTATGTGTCACTGGGGCAAGATCAGACCTCTCCAGGAATGGGTGCAGTTAGCACACTAGTTTTAATTGCACAAATGCATTCATGGCAACCCAAAACTTAGGCATCCAGACTCAGAGATAAATCCAGCAGCACACTCACACTGTGCACCTATATTTTCAGGAGTGTAACCCCATCCAGCACAAGCTGCATTCCTGTTTCTTGATCTGCCTTGCCAATGATACTTGTTTATTACTAGCAGTTATAAAGGCGAAAATCCTAGTGCTTAGCATAGTAAGTTACATCTAGAATAAGCATATTGAAGCAATGGTATTTGACTCACCAAATCCTCACTGATTCAATGGGTCTATTCTAGTTGGGACTTACTACACTATGCAACAGGATTTCTGCAAAATAGACAGAGGCCCTTCTCACTACAGTACCCTCAGAGGCACATTGCCCAGAAATGCAGCAGAGGGCCTTCTTATTGGCTCTCACCCTTCCCACAACCTCCAAAACTCTCCACTAAGGGAGGCTAGGCTGACAACTTCTTTGTTAGCCTTCTGCTAGTGAGTGAGAAATCTAACATGCAAGTTGGTGCACAAAACAAAATGCCTACATGAAACTTTTAATGTACGGAAATTCCCTGCTGAGATTAACATTGTTTTTATTCCATCATAAAAACATAGAACAATTCTGGCTTTTTATTTAAACAGAACTTTGGCATTAAAGCTTGTATACTGCTCAAGAGATTTTAACTGACTGGTGCGTCCATTTCTCTTTCCTTATGGTTTAACTGAGTTTTCATCTGTTTAATTTGACTATTATTACTGTTAGATGCCTTATGTGCAATTGTGGGCACCTTGGGACAGTGAATAACTTTAATGAATAAAAAATGTAAAGTTTAAAAAATGCACCAGAATTTTGCTTTTTCTAATTTTGAAATGTACTGTGTTCCAAATTTCAAAATATTGGAAAAGGAAAACTATAGTGTTTCTCTTTGTTTTATGACTTAAGGATATCTTGTCTCTGCTTAAATAAACATTTATCTAACTGTGAGCATGCTTCAACTGGTTCTATACTGTACTTACATTTACATCTCTCACAGTGGCCTGGTCTTTACAAGCATCATAAGAAATGGAAACAATCCTCATCCAGAAGTGAACTGTACCATTAGATTATGGACTGGGCTGCTATTTTTAAAAACATTTTGACACGTTAAAACATTTTTAGACATGAAATATTTGCCCATTGGGGAGAAAGTTATAAACTTTGCCTGCTCCCCAATCTGCCAGTGCTTCTTGCAGTAAGTTACAAAATAAGCCGAGGAACAAATGGAAACATTTTAAAAACGTGATTCATATTTGGTTCTTGTTCTCAACTCATTTTCGTTGACTGCCATGTCTCTTCAGACTTTAAGCCTGTGAGCAGGGATTATCCTCCTATTGATCTGAGCAAACTGCCCTGGGGAACTTGGGGGTTAAAGAGCAGTTAAAAAACTTCATACAAATTAGCAATATCATTTGATTTCGTGCTTTAAAAGATAAATCATAACTAGAATTAGAAGTTAGGTATGTCAAGAAATCTGAAGCAGGAACAACTGATTAAAAAAACCTGTGGTATATTTCATACGAAGTACTGTACAGTTTACCAGGACATAGTTAAATGTGTTTAAAGTCACTGATTTCACGTGTGTTCTAGTTTGTCGTGGGTTGTGATTAAATTAGTGAAGTTCATCCAAGTAGAAAAGCAGCATTCCACTACTCACTTACTTGGGAGTATGTCCCATTAAATTCACTGGGATTTGAAGAGCAGACATGTCATGGTAAATATGCTGTCATAACAACATATCGTAGTAATTTGCACAAATAATGCTTCAGCTAGTTTTGTTTTTTATTAGTACCTAATACGAAAGATTTGCCTTAGCTAAAACCTACTTTTCATTCCAAATTTGCAGGCCGAGGTGAAGAGGAAGTCGCAAAAGCAGGGAGCTGGACAGGGGTCAGATTGGATTTGTCTTCAGTGTGGAAGAGATTGTCACTCTCGAATTGGCCTCCTCAGCCACACTAGACGCTGTTCCAAGTCCTCCATACAGAGCACGCTACCATAGTCTCTCGAGACTGAAGGATGCCTAACACTAGCATCAGCACATAGCACAAAAAGCATAAGGTTATATGAACTCATGCAGCCTGATCCTATTCACATTCATTCAGAAGCAAATCCAAAACCATGTTTGATTAGGTTTATTCCCAAGGAGTCATACCTAAGTTCTAAGACTTTAATGTTGAGTAAGAAAATGATTTGTAAATCATAAATAAAATAAAAAAATTTTTAAAAAGAAAATGATTTGTGTTTCTTTGGATTCTTCATACCATTGCAAAAGCAGGTTAAATCTTGAATAGCCCCAAGAAGTGTCTGACAAAGTCTTATTTCCAATGAGAAAGTTCTCATTATTTAGTCTTTGTTTTTACAACTTTTTTGCACATTATCTTTTTATTTTTAATAAATACTGTACTCAGAGTGTGACTGGATGAAAAATGCTAAGAGAAAATAGTAACTTTCATATACACTCATCCCAAATTGAAGGAAACATTGTCTTCAGAGACCTGAAGACTATATAAACACCACAGTACGAAAAGCCATAAACAATATTGCCCATAACACTTTTCAATATATAAACTATTACAGACCCTAAGCTAAATTTAGGTTTAAAGAAGAGAGTGATTTGCTTAAAACCATTCAATAATCCCTATAAGCTGAAAGGGTTTTCTTAAAATTAGCCAGGGCATGACAAAGACCTCAGTCCTGCCCTGCCCTCTTTGGCTTGCTTTGATTACAATTGTTCATGAAAAACAATCTCCTGGAATCCACATCGTTCAGTTTGCTTCGCGCTGCTTCCTCCGGCTCATTTCCCTCACCCGATTCAGAGTGATCTCTTTCAGAGAGATCACGCGAGCGATGCCATCCTTTAAAAACAAGCCAAAGGAAGCACTTCTATTCTCGCTGTTTTATTACCCGGGAGGTCTCTCCACTTCATGCTCCTGTGCAGAACCAACGGGGGGGGGGTAGAAGCGTGGCAAGGAGTGTAAGAAAAACGCCGTAGATGTGCGTATGGATTGACCCACACATCGAGCCTGCGAAATCTCTGCCACCCTACGGACTAGCGCCTTAGGGACAGAGGAAACCTCTAGGAGCGCAGTGTACGCAGAAGAGAAGGCACCGAAACAGCGCAACCGCGGCCTTGGAGGGGACGGGGAAGCCAAACAAGAGGATGCCTTAAAAGTCTCCGTGTCTGACTGGACCGTTATTCTTTTGCAGAGTAACTAAAATGGAGCTCGATCCTATGCACTTTGACTCGCAGGCTAGCCCCACACTAGTCAACTGCGCTGACTTCCAGAGGGGCACGCTTAGGATCCCAAGAGACACAAAAGGCTTGGCCCACCCGACGACAGGAAGGGCGAGCGATTGAACGGAATGGGACTCAACCCCCCCCTCCCCGAAAATAAACGCTCACTAGATTACACCACCTACCCGCCCGCCCGCCTCAGCTTTCTGCACCTAGGAAGCCCAGGCGTTAAAGAGCAACCTCCTTACCGCCCCCCCCCACCTGAGCACAACAACAAATAAGCAGCGACATCCGGGTGCTGCTGGAAGCTTTGGACCGCGCATGCTCCGCGTCGGTGGCTCCTGCTTTGCCAGCGCCACCAGTTTAAGGAGGCAACAGCGGCAGCTGCTCCAGTAGTGGTGGTTGTGGGGAGGAAGAGGAATAAGACGGCGCCGCCGCCGCCTTCTCCTCACAGCGAGGGGCCGCGTTTCCGTGTTATCAGGCGAGGAGGGAATAGGCGGGGCGGGGAGGAGGAGGCGGCAACAGAATCCGGCGTAGCCGTGGAAGAGGATGGTGGTTGTGGGGGCGTGTGACAGTCGGCGGCGCTCGTGCCGCCGCCGCCGCCAGGAATAGGCGGGGCAGAGGCAATGGAATCCGGCGTAGCCGCGGAAGAGGATGGTGGTGGTTGTGGGGGCATGTGACTGTCGGCGCCGCTGCAGCCGGGCCGAGACTCGCACTGAGGAGGGCGAAGGGAGTCCGTCATCCGGAATACTGTAGTAGCCGCCCTTATTGTATTGGCAGCTTCCCTTCGTGCGGCAGTTGCAGCGGCGCCTGAGGGGAAGGGGGAAGGAGGAGGAGTGGAGTGGGGGCCACATGGCGGGATGACAGCAGCGGCAGCAGCTCCCCCTCTGCGAGACCGGCAGGAGGGAAAAGGGGTGGAAAGCTGAGGCTGTCGTCGCCGCCGCTGTCACTTCTCGCCTTGCATGAGCGGAGGGGGGGCCTGGCCTGACTGGGTGGCGAGGAGGGCTCGCGTTGAGGGCTTGGACGAGGCGGCGCAGTGTGGCAGGGAAGGAACAGCCTGCCAGCAACGGTTGCCTCAGAGGCCTGCCAGGAGTCTCCAGGAAAGGGTAGGGGTGGGGGCGCGAAGCGGTGCGGTTGCCTCAGAGGAGCCCCGGCTTCGTTTGCTAGCTGGCTTGCGAGTGGGCCTGACTGGGTGGCGAGGAGGGCTCGCGTTGAGGGCTTGGACGAGGCGGCGCAGTGTGGCAGGGAAGGAACAGCCTGCCAGCAACGGTTGCCTCAGAGGCCTGCCAGGAGTCTCCAGGAAAGGGTAGGGGTGGGGGCGCGAAGCGGTGCGGTTGCCTCAGAGGAGCCCCGGCTTCGTTTGCTAGCTGGCTTGCGAGTGTGCGCGTCTGCAGCAGCAGGAGGAGGAGGAAGTGGTGCTGCTGCGTTAATCTCGCCCTGTATTTATTTACTTCGTCCTCTCCCTTCCTGTGAGCCTCTTCCTCGACCAGGTCCACTCCCTCCCCTACCTGATAAGGGTGTCTGCTCTGCTCGCTCCGTTTGTGGCTGCTTCTGGAAGTCTTGTTTACCCCTCTCTGCGCTCCCTTCCTCACCCAAGGCAAATCATGGTGATGATCGTTGGATGAAGGGAGGGTGGGAAAAAGAGAGGCTTGTTATTTTTTTGGAACCTGCCCGCCCGCCCGCCTTTTTCCTTCCCCAGCTTTTCTCTGCCGTGGTTTGTATGAGGTGTGTGTGAAGGCGGGAGTAGGAGCCACGGCAAGAGGGGGGTGGAGAGGGGGAGGAGGGAGAGGAGGAGGAGGAGGGGGGAGAAGAACAGGGTGCGTCGCCGATAAGACCATGAGGAAATTTAACATCAGGAAGGTGTTGGACGGCCTGACAGCGGGCTCGTCTTCCTCCTCTTCGGCTACCTCCTCCTCGCAACAACAGCAGACTGCAACGCGGGAGAATGACATCCAGGAGACCCTACAGTCCGAGCACTTTCAGCTCTGCAAGGTGAATGCTGCAGCCCTTAACAACCGGTTGGGAAGAAATGGGGGGGAGGGAGGGAGGGACGGATGATGTAGCCATGATGAGTTCTGCAGGCTGTGGACTCCTGTGCTTCTAAAGCTGTCAATTTACATTAAAAAAATGGGGGAGGGGGTACAGGCGTGGGATATGCCTTGATGGCCCTTCCAATTTAAGAAGCATCTTCCTGCTTCAGTGACAATCTACCGAGTTGCAATTTAGGTTGTTCCTATATATGCATGAGTATATTTGAGGTAACTTCGGTCAGGGAGAAAGGTCCAATCCAGTGCTGCTCAGATAGAATGTCTAGTTGGCAGGATGAAAGGACAGAGTGCCAAATTCTCTGCATTATTGGCAGTACAGGTTTTGTGTAATCATTTAAATACTTTATCAGATTCTGTTCAGTGAACAGATATTGTGAATGTCCCTTTAAATTTTAGGATGGAGTGGGTGGGTGGAAGAGTTAGTGATAATATTTCTATTCAGATGAGGTGCAGATAATGTAGTTGGCATCTGAATACCAAAATGATGATGCAGCAGATTAATTCACCAGCTGTGCTAAACTGAAACACAAAATGATGAGAGTGTTAATGCTCATCCTCTCTACCTTTCCAACACCTGTGGCCTAAGCTGTTGTAGTTTGGCTTGCTTGTTGATTGAATATTTTTCTTGAACAGTGGGGCTGATCCTGACAATAAAGAAAACATTCTTCAACATCTGTTACATGAATTGTGTTTTCCCCCCTCCATACCCTCACACCCATTGGACTAACTATGTTCAGATATGAAACTTATATTTCATCAAAATGGTTTTGTATATGTGCGGATTTTCTTTGAAACATGCTTGTCATTGTCACAAAATGTTCAGCTGAGACAGGTTTATTTTTGTAAACCTGTCTCAGCTGAACATGCAGAGGAGGGCATGGTCTGCTATTGCAGTTCATAGAGGCAGAAATTTCTCTCTCTCTCTCTCTCTCTCTGTGTGTGTGTGTGTGTATAAGAGGTCTCTTGACATCTAGTTCAGAGTAGTAAGTTTGTGTCATTTAAGGCCTGCTTCTGAGAAATCACAATGGCTCTCTAAAGAGCTGTTTTAATAATTAGTGGTCATTTAATTTACAGGACTGACTACATCATCATATTTCTCTGAGACAATGTTAGATTAGTACAAATATTCTAACCACAGCTGTTTATTAGAAGGATTACAAATTAGACTAGGAATGTAATAAAGATGAGATGTGAATGGCGGATTGTATTCTGTACATGTACATAAGGATCAGAATGATGTTTCCTTTTTCTGTCTCCATTTTTATTAGAGCTGAGTATAGTGTACACATTTTCCCTTTGGTAAATATCTATTTAGATCTATATTCCTAAACATTTGTGTTTTTTAAGTGAAATAAGGTGAAGTCACTTTGCAATATGTTTACTTTTCTGTTTTTATTCTGCTGCCTGATTCACCATTGCTTCACTGCTCTGATTTCACAGACTGTACGCCATGGTTTCCCCTATCAGCCTTCAGCCTTGGCTTTTGATCCTGTTCAGAAGATCCTTGCTGTTGGGACACAGACTGGAGCTTTAAGGCTGTATCCTTTTACTGTGTTCTAAAAAAGAAAATTACCAAGAAGATTGCTCTTGTGTACTCTGTATTACTGAAGTTACTGTGACAAAATACTCTCCAAGTCAGGTATGCATTTGATTGTCCATGTGTGGGTATTCTTTTGAATTTACTTCTGTCTAACTGATGTGAGTATACACATATTGAAATCAATACGTTATCAGTTTTTTTTTCTGGGAAACCATGCTGCTTTAAAAGTTTGGTCTGTTTATAATGTATAATAAAGTTAAATCTGTATTGTAAACTTTGAGTGGGTAGACTTCAGGCTGATAGTATGTATTACTACTTTTGGTTTTTTGTTTTTTACTGAAACCAAGAGATCCAGAGTTTTGTACAAAAATATTCATATAGAAATAAGCTTTCTTGAGCACAAAATCTCAAATACCAGAAATTAAATGCCATTGTCTGCATAAAAAAACCACACTCATGGTTACCTGTTACGTTTTACATTTTGGCAGTACAGTATAAAGAGTGTATCTGTTGGGTGTATGTACCATTTTGTTGCTGCCAAAGTGAAACTGTTCAGAATCAAATTCTTACTGAAGTTTGAAAGTTATCAGTAATTCTAGACCATGTCTTGCTTGCAATCCAGAAAACTGAATACAGTTTTCATGGCCTGTTATTCATCTATAATGTTTTGGTTGGTTCTCGTTTTTTAAAAAATAAATAGTGGCCATAGTGGGAAATATATAGATTCTGTGCAACAGTCGCCTTCCCCATTATAACTGGAAAAATAGTTCTGATTTATCTTGTGTTTGAAAAGAGGTAGTATTTTATTATAATTTTGAATGCACATTGTACATAAGGAATGCATCTTGTCTTGGTGCAATTTCTATTGTAAACGATTTGGTAGTTAATGTTGATTATCTAGATTTAAACAAAAAAAGGACAAATATTAAGCTCAGTTTCTTTATAGTTAAATTTTGAGAGATTATAAATGATTGTTTCCCCGAAAATGGGATCTAACCTGAAAATAAGCCCTAGTATGATTTTTCAGGATGCTTGTAATATAAGACCTACCCCAAAAATGAGCCCCAGTTAAGTGAAACCCCACCCTTCACCACTGTGCAGTATTGTGCAGCAACCAGACAATGACATGACTGTAAAATAAAACATCCCCTGAAAATAAGCCCTAATGCATATTTCGAGCAAAAATTAATATAAGACCCTGTCTTATTTTTGGGGAAACATGCTATGTATTTTATGAGTTTATTATTAGTATTGATGAAATAGTATTTTTATTTTAAAAATTGATAGCAGTGATGTTTAGCATATTAACAGTAAGGGATTTAGAAATGTTAACTGACTGTATATCTTATGCACTAATGGAAAAAATGAGGAGCAGAAGGAGTAGCTGGCTCATGTAAATGGTTTGAGTAGACAGAATTGTTAATAAAAACAGTAGTGTTTATTCAGTACTTGTGGACACATAAACAAAAGTAATTCATTTGGAGTGAAAAACACAGCAGATCTGTTCAGCTGTGACAACACCTAAAATGTTAAAGGCCGCAATCCTGTCCACATTGAACTGAAATAAAGTTCTATTAAAATTCGTGAAACTTTGTTATTTGTTAATAAATAAATGATTTTTCTTTGAGAAACAGCTTTTTAAAACTGCAAAATAAACTTCTGAGTAAGCGTCAGTAGAATCAGACTGCACATCTAAAATAAAGAATACACTCTAAAACTTTGTGTCTTCAGTTGCAAGTTTTATGGGAGCTTTTCCCCTGTTAGAGCTACTTCTCTTTGAGCAAACCCAATAGTTTTGGCTTGTTAAATGGTTCCTTTTCACAAGGAATGTGCAGTGTTTCCTTTTTTACTTTGGAAGTAGTTGTATTTGCATAAGAAGAAAGTGCTTAAAAGGAAAGTCTTACTAAAAGCTCTTGCTTTTAAAGGTGAGTATCAGGGTCCACACAGTGACAGACCCTGATAAGAGGGTGGGTCATTGTGTGAAGGCTGGTGGTACAGGGTGGAGTAGGGCAAGTAGTAAGGAAGGGTATTGTGAAAGAATATCTTCAAGGCAATACAACTGGTGGTGGGTGTTTAACAATTGGGGGTGAGTTAGTGCAAATTAGTTCTTGGAGGGAAAATGTGGTAAGAGAATAATCAGCTTGCTAGTAGGTGGTTATTCTGTTGGGTCTTGAAATCCACATCCATGATGGAAGACTAGATTTTCAAATGCCACTCAGATTTTTAATCTGTGGCATATTGTTGAAGCTGGTTGTTCTCAACAGTGAGTATTGGCAATTTTCAGTAGCTTCTACCAATGTTGGTGAGCATTATGTATATGGAAAAGAATAATGCAGACAGTTGTTGTCATATCTGTTTTTAAAAAATGAATTTTTGCAATAATGACAGAAGGACCTACTTGCCTGTATGGCCATCACCCTTTTCCTAATTTATTATCTATGCCCCTAAAGTGGGAGCACTTTAAACTGGATCTTTTTAAACCCTTAGAGTAGATAAATTGTGTTGAGCAACAAATTGCTTCCTTAGCATTAAAAAATACACTTTAATTAGACAACTTCCAAATGAATAGCTCAGAGCACAGAAAGAAGGGTAGTTGCATATCGCATATACAGTAGTTAACTGCTTTGTATTAGTGAAGTTTTATTCCATTCTCTACCAAGCATGGAATTTGCTGGAGATGGTCTTTGTGTAGTGAGATAAAAACCTCCTCTTCTTGCTGTGCACTGTATTTTTCTATGCTGTACATTTCAAATCTCAGGCCTATGGCCAAGAATTTTGCGCTGGGTAGCCTAAGTGTGATGAGGATGGGCAGCATAGTTGAATGAGAGATATGTAAGGTGGAGAACTTAAATGGAGCATTAAAGGACTCCCCATTCTCTGCTAGGGAATGAACAAGTGAATAGGAAAAGTAAGTGTAGGCCAGCGAGATCAATGGCCAATATGTTTTAGGATGAAGTATGGCCAGAGGAAGAAGTAACTGAGTTGCCATAGATGCCTCAGAGCTACAGGCATGCTGAGTGCTATCAGTTTTCAACTGCTTTTTCCTTTAATGATTGAGAACCTTTCCTCAGTTTGTGGAGAGATACCTCTTAACTCAGCAGGCATTTTTGCAGATACCAACATTGCACTTGTGCTGTAGCATCAGTATGGTGCAACTTTCCATCCTTTGCAATCTTCATTACCACTCTAAAACTGACTCTAGGGATTTTTTAGATGCATTGGTACCTGAAATAGGAAGAGGAGACTGGTTCTGTTAGTGGTTGTCTCCCATTGAGCTCTGGCTGATGTATCTGAGGGTTTGTGAACTTACTTGCTGGATGTACTTCCTAGTGATGCTGTTTCAATTTCAGTGTAAACATTTCTACTGGCCATCTCACAACTGTGTTTCAGCACTGATAATTGATTCAGTAGTTACAAGAGTGCAGCAGTAATCTTGTGCTGGCAGAACAAATCAGCATTCTGTAAGACACTCTTAGCTAACTTTTTCAGAATCGTTGCCCCCACACCACTTTTCCCAGTGATGTTGCCTTTTCCAGCCAGTTCTGTACTGTCATTATATTTGCAAGGTAGGATAGCCTCACATTTACTCATTTTTGCTATAGTTATTGTTCAGACTTGGCTTGATAGAGCACCCACCCTTTCTGGTGATCTGTGGCATCTATAACGCTCACCTCCAACACCGCATTCCAAATGAGCTGACCCCCCCGTCTTTCTTGGGGTGTTAGATAGATAGATAGATAGATAGATAGATAGATAGATAGATAGATAGATAGATAGATAGATAGATAGATAGATAGATAGATAGATATTCTCAGACTTCCTCTGACATATTGGCCAGAATCCTGTTGCTACTTGTATAAAGTTTGTGCAACTTGCTACGGCCCATTGTAGCTAAATGGGAAGATGTTGAGGTGCAGTTTTGAGTGCAACTGGCTCCTGTTCAAGTATCTTGTCAGTTAGCTGCAATGAGTTGTGGCAAGTTATGCAACCTTATACAAATATCAGTAGTGTTCTGTCGCCTTTTTTCCCTAGGAAGCCGGGCTGAGGGCGAAGGCCAGGTCTGCTTGCATGGATGCCTTGCCGAGTTTTTTTCCCTGGGGTTTCTTTTTGTCTCCTGACCACATGGCCTAGGGGTGGGGCCTAGGGATGGGACTTCCTGCTTTAAAAGACCGTGTCCCAGGACCTAGGTCCCTTTTCCCTAGGAAGCCGGGCTGAGGGCGAAGGCCAGGTCTGCTTGCATGGATGCCTTGCCGAGTTTTTTTCCCTGGGGTTTCTTTTTGTCTCCTGACCACATGGCCTAGGGGTGGGGCCTAGGGATGGGACTTCCTGCTTTAAAAGACCGTGTCCCAGGACCTAGGTCCCTTTTCCCTAGGAAGCCGGGCTGAGGGCGAAGGCCAGGTCTGCTTGCATGGATGCCTTGCCGAGTTTTTTTCCCTGGGGTTTCTTTTTGTCTCCTGACCACATGGCCTAGGGGTGGGGCCTAGGGATGGGACTTCCTGCTTTAAAAGACCGTGTCCCAGGACCTAGGTCCCTTTTCCCTAGGAAGCCGGGCTGAGGGCGAAGGCCAGGTCTGCTTGCATGGATGCCTTGCCGAGTTTTTTTCCCTGGGGTTTCTTTTTGTCTCCTGACCACATGGCCTAGGGGTGGGGCCTAGGGATGGGACTTCCTGCTTTAAAAGACCGTGTCCCAGGACCTAGGTCCCTTTTCCCTAGGAAGCCGGGCTGAGGGCGAAGGCCAGGTCTGCTTGCATGGATGCCTTGCCGAGTTTTTTTCCCTGGGGTTTCTTTTTGTCTCCTGACCACATGGCCTAGGGGTGGGGCCTAGGGATGGGACTTCCTGCTTTAAAAGACCGTGTCCCAGGACCTAGGTCCCTTTTCCCTAGGAAGCCGGGCTGAGGGCGAAGGCCAGGTCTGCTTGCATGGATGCCTTGCCGAGTTTTTTTCCCTGGGGTTTCTTTTTGTCTCCTGACCACATGGCCTAGGGGTGGGGCCTAGGGAT